GAGAGAGAGAGAGAGAGAGAGAGAGAGAGAGAGAGAGAGAGAGAGAGTGAGAGAGAGAGAGAGAACATGTCATCGTGCAATAAAAACAAGTGACAGCACAGAAGGAGGGAGAGCGGGCTGAGAGTGCGTGAAGAGGCGGAGGAGAGCGTGGCGGCATTAAGCAGCTCGGAGATCAGTGGATGCTGACAGAAGCACAGCTGCTGATGGGAAGAGGGAGACAAGAGTGTCAAACAGAGCCGAGGCAGAGGAGGGGAGCAGATACACTGTCCACGCTCACTGTCACGGTGATTGGGATGGGAGGACGGCGGCGTCTCTGCAGCTACACATAGGCGGTAAGTTACCAGCACACACCTGCAAGCATCACAGTTTATCATCAGATTCAGTGAATGATATTTCAATAGGAGCCTCAGTGTAAATGTGTTTTTCTGAGATGTCAATATTCTCTGCAAATGTCAGACCAAACTCATATTCAAAATGAAGAAACAAATATGGTTGTTTTGTCATTTTTACGGCCGATATTTAATACATCATTCCATCAGTGACATCTCATAACTGCATGTCTACAACATCTTTGTAATTGCTGTCAAAATGCTGCTATAATGCTGCGTGTAAGACTAGTGTTCTTTGAAGTACAGAAAATAACAAGTAAATAATAAGTTATTGATCATATTTATACAAGGGGGTTCCAGGGGAACACAAACTTAAACATGTCTTTGTCTGTGTGTATAAATGTCATTCAATCAATTTGAATGTTTAAATATTACAAATGCAAGGCACACCGACAGTACATCTGTATATAGATACATTCATCTTTCAAATCACATGTATAGCACCATGAATCTTGCCCAGTTGAATGAGATGTAAATAAATAAATTAGGCTCTGAATGATGTATGAACAAACCCCTCGGTAATAGCCTTCAGAATATAGATAAGAATTAAACCGAAAAGTTTGGCGTATGTAAGTGCTGCTGAAGTGTAGATTTCAGTCTCAGAGTCTGAGGAGAAAGAGATAATTTAGAGTAATTAGAAACTAATAGATATCACCATGAAACCTCCCCAGAAAGAAGACCTGCTATTTTCAATAGATATAATACAGTTAATAAATATACACAGAGTTGCAGTCTAATACAACAGCAGTTATGTGTTGAAAGAATCATTCCGGAGGATGTAGTTTGTGGTACTGTTGAACTGTATTGCGTTATGCAGAGAGGTGTTTTTGCTATTTAGCCTTCCCTTGTTGATATAATTGGAGCAGACAAAATAATGGAAACAGCATTTATTGCAGGTGGTGTATAACTACACCCGTGTAGTGTCGTCCCTCCACCAATAAGGTGCGGACTGGATGCAGCGCGACAGGAGAAATCCAGGGTGGATGAAGCACTCGCTGGGCCACTTGCTGTTGCACCTGAAGCTTGTTGCTGTCAGCTTCTATCCTTGTATGTGTGTTATGGTGGCTGGACAGTACGGGAAACATGTCCAGAGAGTTTATAGTGACACTCCTCACCGCTGAAGGAAATGAACGACTGGGAAATAAATTCATTTTGTCAAGCAAAAATGCTGAATAATCCCCATTTCCAGCTTTTCTTTTGTCTGATTCCCAGAAAATTTACAAGAATAAAACCTTGGATATATTATTTATATTAGTGTTGAACATTAAAGGAAACATGTATATGTGTCTTTCTGACCTCTTGTCAGAGTGAACATTGGAAACAGTATAACGGTATAACAGTATTACGGTATAACAGTATTGCAGTATTACGGTATTACAGTGTTACGGTACTATGGGATTGTGGTATTACAGTATAAGGGAATTACGCTATAACGGTATGAAGGTATAACAGTATTATGGTATAACGCTATTAAGATATACTGGTATAACGGAATTACGGTATTAGGGTATAATGGAATAACGGTATTACAGCATACCAAGGTATTTAGAAACCCTGACGGTGTGATTTTCATGAATACTATGAATTGGTTTGATACTGTATTGATGTGATGTATTGATGTGCATGGCGCGCCACCAGAGGTCAGTCTCTGATGGGGGAACAGGGAGCCGAGCGGAAAGATGTGGGGATAACGTGATGAGGCTAGTAAAACATGTTCTCCAACAATAGGAGCCGCTTATAGCCACATTTTACAACAAATTAAATTTTACAACAGGTCAACAGAGTTTTCGCTCACAAATGTACAACTTTGTAATCACAGAGAATATTCAAGTTGTTTTCCTCATGAATTTGTGATTTTTTTTTTTACCACTTTAATCTCAGAGGTTTTTTTCAGAATACTTCCCCTCTCCCCTGCCTCCATAATTCATTAATTCCTGAATGAAAATAATCGTGATTTGACGCCCTAAATGAAACCGCTAATTGATTATCAGATACTCCGCGGTTATATATCTCGCCAAATCTTCAATCTGTATAGCGGCACAATCATTACATGAATCTCGTGATCATTTTCTACCCACTGAGGCATAGTAACATCAGGCAGCTGCTTTTAGGGGGTTTGGATAGAAATTCAACACAACAGCATCATGTAGAAAGCCCAGCAGAGTTACACAGCAGCTGTTCACCCTGAGCAGCACCACTGAGTCATTTTCAAAATCTCTGCACCGTAGGCAGAGAAAGCAGGCAGGTCAGATGTCACAATCATCTTCTGGAATCTGTCTGTCTGTGGTTGTTAGAGAGACAGTGGGTACTCCAAATCTCAGGCAGTGCCAGTGCTACCTCAACACGTGCAGCATGGCAGTTAGCTTATTGATCAGCTGATCACTTATATTGACAGACGAGAGTGGTACGATATATACAGCACTGTAAATATCCAGCGTTTTCTGCTGAGATCTTACGTCTCTGGGATCCAGGACTGCAGCCAGCATTTCACTATTACTGAGGAGGTGGTGAGTCACGTCAAAGTCAATTTTAGTCAAAACAAAAGAGACAGTTATAGGAACATCCCCAAAAAAGATATGTTAATTTATGAGTTTCTCTAAGTTTCCTATTAAAAGAGCTGTCGACCACATGCTTTCAGTGTTATCAAGCTATTGAATGGGTTCCTCTCTCTACCAGCGGTACCTGCAGGCAGTGAATCACATCAGAGGGAGGAGAACAGACGGAACACAGAGGACAAAAGGAATGACTGACGTCTGTGTTCGGCATTCTTTATAAACTTCATATTTGAAATATTCAATTCTAATCCAGTTCTGAATTTAAAGACGACCTGGCTGACCAAGGAAATATACAGCTTAAATGCACACTTCAATATTTGTCTATTTATCGTAAGTCATATTGTCATGGAGTTATTAAACAATGTAATCGCATATCGCAGATTTTTCTAAACCTAACCAAATAAAGCTCTAACGTAAGTTCAGCCAGGAAGACTATCCTTGCACCTTTTGGCTTGTAGTCCTCTGTCTCTAATACGACTTCCGCACTCTAGCGGCACATTCTCAATTCCAGCTGTCATTGTCAGAAGCGTTCGGGCTGATATCTTCCCTCACGATCGGGATGCTGACATAAATGAATCGGCTTCCATCTCATCTGCAACTCGCCGCAGCGCTCGGATTGCTGCCCGACAAGAGGAAGCCGGTCCCGAAATACTAGAGATGCTAACTGCTCAAGGCATCAATCCGGCTCTGGGTTTAGACCTCTCGCAGCCTCAAAGCCTGGCTAACGAAGTGGGTCATGGATCACCAGCCCGCGACGAGCCCCCACCGCAGCTCACGGACGCAAACGTGCAAAGAAAACGCATCATTCAGCTCCTCAAGCTAAACGCAAGGCCACCGCCACCAGATCTGCTCATCCCGACCAGCCTCTGGCCCTCTCAGCAACCCTACAGTCTCTGGTAAATCTAGGCTAAAGATGCCCGCCTCCAGTCTCGAGAGAACAACCAAGCGTCATCTTCCTCGGCAAGGCGCTATGCCTCTCAAAACCTGCAGTTCATGCACCAGCACCCCAGCAAGCAATCTCCCCCACATATGGCCTAATCATCCCTCAGCATTCCCTGGCCTCTGCCATCCCTACTCCCTTGCCAGGTACGCCATATGTTCCCTCTGAATCTAACACTTCTCCACGCTTAAGATCAAAAATCTTGCAGGGAAAAGACATCAACCTCATCAGCCTCATACTGACATCTCCCGAGTCTGAAGGTAAAGTCACCCCTGGCGAGAATTTCACTGCGCTCAGCTAACCCAAGATTGTCAAGAGACATGGCAATCGGTGAACTCGTAGTCGCTTTCAGCATTTTTCGCGATGTAATATGCCGCGTCTACCATGAACGCTGACAAGAACTGGACTCTTATTTAGCGCTGATTGGCAACCTTAACCCGATTTCATGATCTGATATTTCCCTCAATAACGTTTATTATGAATACAATTAAAGTCAGAGAGAGCTGGAGAGATGAAACACTTTTTACATCATCTATCATCATTTCATTCAGTCACATGAGGCTGATCGTTCCTGAGTGTTTGATGAGTTGTATCATTTAAGTTTAACCTGAAACATGCAGCCTGTAGTCATATTCTGGGTTAATTAATAATAATTCATAAATAAGACGATCGCATTCCGCCGTTAGAAATCGATCCTGCGTTTATAAACAGAACAAAGAACACAGTTTGTTAACAGACTACAGAGAGAAACACCTCTACAGTGGTGATTACTGTATGTCTTTATTAGTTATTAGTATTATTAGTTACTATTATTAAAACCTCTTCCCACTCCTGCATAATTTGCCTAAAACGCCTATCAACCGCGTACCCAAAGTAAACTGACAGCTCTTATTGAACCATTGGGAGTACATGTATGGTTTTAGTCTTTATTGAACGGTAACACTCTGAAGTTTCTTCACAAACTGTCAGAATCACCGTAAGTGCTATTAGCATTGAGCTATGGCGTTTTCAGCACAGTGAAAGAGAAGCATTTTATTTCCGCCTGGATTTGTTTTGACCAACAGATGGCAGCAGCTATCTATGGCTGGGACTTACAGGCTTGAAAAGACTCTCATTCCACAGCCAACAGTCAGGGCGCCTAGTGTAAGTTAAAACTTGATAACAATACGACAGAAAATTGATATTTTACACGTGGTTTACGAGTGCAGCCGCGTAAAAATGCATTTGGAAGCTCGATGCATATACTACGTGCTCGAAATTCAAACTATAGTTTATTTATGTCGATGTATGGATAACTATATCATATTTAACCATTATCAACTTTCACAGATTTCTGAAAATTCTCATGAACCAGACTTTAGTCTTCATGCTCTGTCCCAAGAGCTTGACTCATGGTTTCCAGTTCAGGTTAGAAAACTTTCCCAGCATTCAATCTGATAAATCTGCAT